AAATGCTTACTTTTTTAAAAGTTTACCTCATTTGTAAATGTAAAAGAAATTTCTCAGGCCCCCACATCTCAGCCTCAGGCCAAGTTCCACAGAAAATACCTCCAAAGCCAGAGGGTAGAAGACGTGGTACCTTTGTTTGTTTTGTGTTGCTATAACAAAATCCCTGAGGCTGAACATGTTACAAAGAAAAGAAGTTTACTTATATTGGAATACTATGGGTGAAAGACCAATATTAATTGGCCCCCAATATCAATATCAATTTGGCCTCTGGTGAGGGCTTTCTGACTATATCACAACATAGAAAATGCTCTCCATGACCAATGCATGTGAAAGAGAAGTCATATAATGAGACAGGAAGTAGGAGAGACCCAGCTTGTGCAGAACCCACTTTTGCAGGAACTAGTCTATTTGAGATTCAACCTACTCCACAAGAGCAGCATTAATCCCTTCCTAGGGCAGTGCCTCCCTCTTATTCCACTATGTCTTGCCGCTTAAAAATCCACCACCTTTCAATCCTGTTTTATGGGGGAGAAGGAGACCAAGCTTCCAGCATAAGAACCTGTCAGGGATAAACCATAGTACATGGCTACTACCCTGATCATAAATGAGGAAGATGTCATGGCCTGTACTTAGGTCTATGACAGGTAAGTTTGCAACTCCTTCAAACCTAGGTTGCACTAAAACCTGCATGAGAGACTGAGTGGGAAAAGGAGTGCTTAAAACATGAGGTTGTTAATTTTTTGTTTTCATTCATTCATTTAGCAAAGCTAAGACTCTGGAGCTGACTAATGAAGTCACAAAATCAAATCTCAATCCTAGAGCTTAAATCCTTTCCTCCTCTAACAATAATAGAGCAGAAATACCCATTTGTATCATTTATGGAAGAGCTAAGTTAAAATGGTCTGCTTTTAATTTTCCTGTCAAGTTCCTGTCTTCTTTTAACTTCCCCCTCTCCCCAAGACACAGTGGGAAGAGCATTGGATTGAAAATCTGATGGCGTGGTTCCAAATCTACCTCTAATTACCTGGGGACATCTTGGACAAGCTACTTAATCTGATTCTCAGCTTCTACATCTTCAAAAAGAGGAACATCAACACTTTCAAACTAACCTAAATTATATTATAGAAGAGTGCACTACAGCAGACTCATTACATCTAGAATAAAATCACTAGACTTCTAAGCCATGAGCAAATCTAATGAGGAGAATATTTCAGAGAAAAGAAAGAGAGGGAGTTGCTGATGCCTCTCTCCTTTCCCAGTCTTTACTACGCTCTGTGATAGCATTTGGTTATTTCTAATGAATATGCTCCATCTCCAAGTTTGATTTCCAAGTCTGCAATAAGTCCTGATTCAGAGGCACATTTTGGGTAATGCAAAAGCAAACACCTGGAATTAAAGCATTCATCCTCACTTACTAAAAAGCTAGGAAAGGCCATGGAGATATTTTCTCTCCAGTCTTGAAATGAATGAGAACTTCTTCGAAGATCACCTCTCCTCACCATCTCCTTATTGTAAAAATGCATCTGCATTCCAGGGAAGTCTCTTTGTCCCCAATATAGGACGGAGTCATTCTTCACATCTTAGGTTTAATTTAGTGGAAAGCCATCTCCCTTGAGTTTCTTTTCCTCTCAATCAATGCCTTGATCATTTCTTCCTACTCTTTCTCTGAAAGAGAAATTGATACTTTGTGTCAATTGTCCTTTTCGCTCTCAGAAACAGACTGGTTGTCGGTGGAAGGTAAGGAAGCTCAGAGACAAAATCAACATTCTCATCAGACTAATGAAACACACCAGTTATCTAGAAGGGCAGATTCTTCGAGGAGCAGTGTAATAAAATAATAAAAAATAACCTTGAAGATGGATGGGGGAACCTAAGTTTTATCCAAACTCAGCATCAGCTTTCTGTGTATCTTACACAGATGATTTAACAACTCCATGCCTTATTTTGAGAAATTTGGTGATGAGAACAAGAGGGTCGCTGGACCTCCTTCCACGTTGTATATTCTGAATAAAGGGCATCTTTTGTGTCACTATACGACAGAGTTATCTGCATATCAAGAATATTTTCAGCCATAGCCAAGAAAATTAATCCTGTGTTATTACCAAAAAAAGATATGGATGATCTTGAAATAAACTGATGTGAGAAATGAGTCAGTGAATTTGCGAGCCCTGTGATTGGTGGACAGTGAATAGGCCTTCCCAGAGATTTTATAAGAAAGTTCTAGAGAATTGGACTGGCTGGAGTTTCAAAAAGGAGAACATCTGCTAATCATGTGTCTCAGTGGTTATTAAAATCACCATCATGGGCTGTATCCTACTGATGTCACACTAGCATTACATACAGTGGGCACTAATGCCATTTTCCCATGTCAATTAAAGCATTAAGGAAGAATGTTGTCACCTAGTAAATAGAGATTTGTTTCACTTGACACTGTAAGTTTAGAGATCATTCATTCTTACAGTGATGTGAAACACTGAGTGGAGATATATTTATCCAAAAGAAGACCACACACAAACGCCTCATCTCTTATCTGGACTCATATAAACATAAGAAACAGTAGAAAATGAAAAGTACACACTGTGGGAGAGATGCAGATCATTCAGAGAAGGCAGATATTTTAAGTGAGAGCACAAAACAGGAATTTTATGGAGCAAGAAGCATATGAGATGGGTTTTGAAGGCTGATCTAGGTTTGGCCTATGGAAATGGCAAGATATGGAAAAAGCAAAGAAAACACACGACACGTAAGAACAAAATTAACACTAGCATCTAACACTTACTTACCAGTTGCTTACCCTGGACTGAGATCTTTAGGTACATGGTCTTAGTGAATTCTCATAATTCTAAGGCATTGGTTCTTTTGTATCCATTTTCTGAAGGAGAAATTCGAGTTTAGAAAGGAAGACTGCTTTTCCCAAGCTCTCCCATCGAAAGAAAGAGCAGCTTTCTTAGGATTGCTGAAACATGTTGCAAGAAAGAAGGAAAAATGTCTGAAAACTTCAGTTTGGTTTGACAATAAACATGCTAGAATACTAGATTCTCTCAGTGAATCTCAGAAAAGAAGAATTCAAATGAACTACACAAGAAGTAAAAGAATTCAAAAGAACTACATAAGAAGTAAAAGGTAAGATTTTCTTTGTATTTAAAATAAAACAAAATGGGACAAAGCTATGCCTCATATGGTATGTAAGACAGTCCCAAATCAGTGTTCCTCAAACACCTTGGTCAATGTCAAAGCATAAAATGTGAGTCACCATCAGGAAGGGATGTAAATACCCTTCCTAATACAACTCTGCTTAGGGAGATGGAAAAACTGGGGCTGAAAGAAAAGTAACCCTGTTGACATGTTTCTTTCAATTTAAGTTTCAAATGAAGAATAAGTATTATAGGTACTTGTGCTGTGTAATTCTTGCCAGATCCCATATACTATTGGGAACTGACAGCTAAACACAATAGTAAATACATAAATCCCCTGGGACTCATACAGTTTATAGATGGCTCAGAAAACAATTAAGTTGTTTTCTCTTCTGCGCTTTAATCATAGTAATGTGATTCTATTACTCCACTGAGTTGGTTGGTAACCAGATGTGCATTAGGCATTTAGCATAGGCAAATCCTTCAAGTGGGCATGCATTAATTCCCCACTAAAGTTTTGTAAATAAAAGATGCACCAGAACCTCAAAGAGTATTCTGTTTTCACAGAAATTATCAATATAGTTTAGATTTTTCTTCTTGTTTGATCAGCTGTTTAGGAATTAATACCCTCAAAGCCACATTCATATTTAAAATGAGCATTAATAAACATGACTATTTTTGAAAAGTATGAATTCCTTTTTATTGTTATTTCTTCCATCAGTAACTTCATGATTGCGTTTGGTTTATTATTCCAGCAACAGCTATGCAGAAACGTAGCTGATAGCTAAAATGTTTCCCAAAGGACATCTATTTCGGATCTCTATTAGTTAAATTATTAATGTTTTTATCCCCATTTTGAGTGATGCCATTTAGTATGTTGATATAATACCAGTACGCTAAAATGCTAGTATGTTGTATAATATTAACACAGCTATAATTTATTATTTTCATTTTTATTTTTGTATTTATACCTGACTCCCATTTTGTTAAAAATTGGAGGAGGATTGGAGATACCTGCTTTAGTTATTCTGTGGTAATTACTTTGAGTTGTAGTGCATTTAACATAGCATATAATTCAGTGAGGCGATCCAATGCCCATGTTTCTTCCAATCTCTGATATTCCCATAATGGAATCTTATAATAAAGGTGATATTTCTCTATGAGAAAAAAAAATTAGAAGCTTACCTTTAAAACAAATGTAGTCATTTTGCCTTTTTCAGTTAGAGAGAATTCTCAAATAAGTTATAGAACCAATGTCATTCCTACAGATAAATTTTCACAAACTAGAAACAAACTCTTTTGGGGCTTTTTGTTTGTTTGCTTTTGGTACTGGGGATCAAACTCGGGACCTTGTGCTTGCGAGGCAGGTGCCGAAGCCACTGAGCTAAATCCCCGGCCCCTAGAAGCAAATTTTAAATGTAAAATATTTATTTTAACAATTTAAGCCAGTTTATTTCCTCAACTTCTAAATGATTTTACCCTTCCATTACTAGCATGTTCTATTTTATTTATCAGCCTATGACATTTCAGTCAGCCTACCCATAAATATTAATCCTCATTTTGATAATCCAACATATAATTTTAAATGTGCTTAGTCTGTAATTGATGTTTATGGAACCCCCTTCCAATAATTACCACTGAATTGAAGTTTGAATTTATATAGAATTATTTGAAAGGATTTCAATATGAAATGATCCAAATTATAAGTTGTACCATTTAAAACATAACGTTTATTGCCACAGGGAATTTTAAACAGACGTCCATGAGAATGAAAGTGTGTATCTCAGATATGTTTCTTGATACCACAATTCAAATTCATCACACATTATTGAAAAGAAATGTTTACTCAATAAAGCCACCACATTCTTGTTTTCCATAATTTCACCATAATTTTATTTGATATTTACAGTCTTCGATTTCTAATACAAGGATCTTGCTGAGGATGTGGGGGATTCGGAAAGAGAAATGGGGTTTGAAGGGAAGGAATCAGAGGTCTGATAGAGACGCCAATCATTAATAAAGCTAGCAGGATGTGAACGTCTTCCAGAAAAAATTCTTGCAGCCGGCTTTGCGCTCTCGAGGCGCCATCGCCGGGTTGGAGTTCGCGGATCTCTGCAGCTCCAGCCTCATCTCGTCCTGCTCCGCAGCCTGCGACAAATCCTCAGGTTCCAGGGCATCATTCTCTGTCTGGTTGGGTTCAGACAGCAGCTCTGCCAAGAAGTATTTGGCCAGTTCCTGTGTGGGGGGGAAGGGAGGGGGAAAGAGAGGAGGAAGAGAAAGATGAAAAGCAGAAATGGAAAAAAAAACCTCCCTTACGAAACACATTCTATCACATCCCAAACCCAGGTCTCAAAGTTGTGCGCTTTGTTCACTTACAATCAGTTCCAATAGAAGAGAATAATAAAGGTAGTTGCTATACTTTAAAAGCTCAAATGTTTCTGCCAGTGTTCCGACTCTGCAAGCTTTAAACACCCAAAGAAACAGACGATAAAAGCAGTTCTGCGAAGATGAAAAGTGTGCCAGAATGTCACCTAATTTCCATATCCTGAGCTACCCAGTGGAATGACTTTTTGCGAAGTAAACGGCGGGGGGCGATACCTCTCACAATGGCAAACACGCCCGTCCTCTGCGGCGAGCCCCTCGGCCCTCGTACCCTGGCGTGGTCGAGGTCCGGGTTTCAGCACCAGGGCCAGCGACTCCCGTGGGCAGCACCGCGGATAGATGCCGTCATCCTTTCCCACTCAGCTCCCCGGGCCTCCTAATTTCTCAGGAGGAACTCACCTGGAGGGTGACCGACTGCCCTGATCGGGCAACATTAGAGGTAAAGGGAATCTAGACTTGGAAAGTTTTCCTGCAAGCTTTGAGAGCTGAGGGAGCTTAAAACCACTAGAACTCTTTAGACCAAACAAACACCTGTTAAGACAAGGCTGAGGGCAGGTGGGGGACCCGGGAAGGAGAAGGGAGATTCCTTACCTGCTTTCCCGCAGCAGCAGCCAGGGACTTCTGCAGAAACTGACGGAGCCGGGGGTCCGAGGGCGCGCCGGTGACGCCACCCAGGGCCAGGACGAGGGAGAGCGCGGCCAGCGCGCACTGAAGGCGGCAGGACAGCATCTCCGCGGAGCCGGGAGCGGGAGCCCAGCCAAGAGCGGCGGTCAAACTCCAAGCGGGGATCTGCAGGCAGAGGGCAGGCGACCGCGGCTAGTGAGCTCTCCACAGGCTCCCCCCTTTTTAAACTCTCTTTCTGACGTCAGGCTCACAGGCGCCCCCAGATCTCTCCAGCGCTTTTACGCACCATTAGCCTTGCAAAATCAATCACCGAAGTGAGGGGAGGCGACATGATCCAAAGTGGTTTACTTAAAGGGAAAAATCTGCACACAGGCACACAGGATTTCACATGCTGCGCTACACAGTCGTTTATTTTCACTCTAGTGCCACCAACATAAGCCTTCCATAATTCCATTCACACGTGCACACTCGGTTGCGCACAAAAAGGTTCAAATATTCTCCCTTTAGGGGGGCAAATGTGCTCTCAAATATGCATAAGTGTATCCAAGGGCTCCGCTTATCCTGCTCACTCATTTTAGGAGACCCACACAAACACACTTGTGCAGTGTACAGCCGGTAAGATTCAAAATAATTCCTCTAGGAACAGATTTCAGAGTGAACCATCTCCTTCCATTACCTCTGAACTGAGGATTCTGGACAGAGCCCCCCAGAAGATGTGCTGAGCTCCAAAACAACTTCACGTTTCTCTGTAGTGAGGGGGAAGATATCTTTGTCCCTCACTCTCTTTCTTTCTCAGTCACTGAGAGATTTCTAATCTACTTGCCTTTTTATTTTGACCAAAAAATAAAATTAAATTAAAAATAAGGACACAAGAAGAGAGATGGGGGGGAGAAATTGACTCCGTTTTGCTCCCTAGAAACTTGGAACTGGCAGTCTCCTATTCTGAATGACTAAGCCTTAGATATAGGCAGCACGGTGCTCTGGCTCACATACTAGATCTACTACATCGTCAGAGCAAAGACCAGAGCCCCATCTTCAAGGCCAGGGTGATTTCTATTCAACTCTGAGATTCCTAACAGAATCCTGGCCAGAAAGAGCAGTTCTAGGTTAGGTCAGGAATCCAAGAATGGATGCATCAAAGTCCAGAAGCCCCCTCCACATATGCAACCATTATTGAGCATGTGGGTGTGGGTGAAGGATCAATGGACTCAGAGAAATCTAGCCCTGTCCTCCCTCAACCAGAGAGAGAGCTTACGAAACACTACTCTAGAATTCTAGGTGTACTTGGGTTGAGTGTTTGCTGTCCAGACCAGAGTTGTGGCAGCTTTGTTCCAAACAGTTCTCTATCAAGGAAAAGTCAGTTCATTTCTTGGCATAGATCAATTGATCCTGGCAGGTGCTTCAAGAGCTAATATTTTATAAGCTTCAAAGAAGCCAATACTAGATTAAAATAATACTACTTCCCCAGAAATCACGTGAGGCAGAAAACTGTCCAATTCTGTCATCATGGATACATCATAAATTCAAATATTCTCAATATTTAGACCCAACCCAGAGTGCTGAGCAGTGGGAAGACTTAGGAGGCAGCCTGCATGGCTTGGATACTTCTCATTCTTTCCTTTTATGTCTGTAAGAAGAGGCAAGGAAAGAATGCACAGTAAGGGGTATGACAGCTTTCAGGGCCTAGAGTTCCAGGCAAGGCTAAGAACAAAGTATGGCACTACAAAGTTACTTTCAGAATAGTCTGAGAGAGCGAGAGAGCCATGAATCTAGTCTTTGACTCCAACCCTGGGGAATACAAGTTATAACTCTATAGATCCTAAAGTCCTCCCTGGCCCCTGACTGGGGATCCAGACTCCAATTATACCAGGCCAGCTGTCCCAAGGCACCTCCAAATGTTCTTCCAGCTCCTCTACCCAAACCTTGGTCCTTGGCAGCTTTGTGGAGTAGAAAAGGAGAGGTTTCCTCAAATGGGAGCCAACCAAAGAACAAACAGCAGCAGTGGGGCCATCTTGTGGGCTGGGATCTCTTCTCCCTCCCCCCCCCCTCCCCTAGGCCCTGCCTTTCTCTTTCTCCTCTGCACCTTCTCCTCTATCCTATCTCTTTCCCCTGACCTTTTCTAAGTTTCTGTCTCAGAATCTTCTCATTCAGTTCTTCTTTTGTCTTCTCCCTCTCCTCATTGCTCTTTTTCCTCCCTGTCGTCAGCCCTGTGCTGACTTCAATCCTGCCTTCTCCCCTCAGCTTCCTCCCTTTCGGGCTTGCTCCACCCTCACCGATCTGGGTCTTTGCTTCTAGGCCTGCCTCCCCTCTTGATGGCCTTCTTTCCTTTCTTCCTCTGCCCTCAGCTTCTGCTCTTGGAGGAGGCTCCTAGTCTCTGGTTGTTTATGTACCTGCTTGGAAGGATGAGTCTCAGTTCTCACGTCCCCTCTGAAGCATTGTGACTGTAGAGTTGACTTCCGGCATCTGTTTTTGTTTTGTTTTATTATCCTTGGATTGCTATGAATCTAAGATCCACTTAAAAGAGAAGAGCAGGACAAAAGAAGACAACAATTGTTCCTTAAACTCTCCCGGGTTTTAAGACTTTTCTACTCAATTTTAGCACATAGCTTGGTTTACGATTAAAGCACTTCAAACATCTCCAACCTGAGCCCTCTGCAGTTAACCCAAGGGCCTCTCTTTCAAAGAGAAAGTTATACTGGGTTGTACTGGGGGCCTTATTTCCCAGACCATGGTGGCCAGAAATCGCCTCCTTCTCCTTCCATCCTGTGCAGCCTTTCAGGGGTCACAAACTATCACAGAAAGCTAAGTTAGTTAGAAATTATTATAAGGCAGTTAGACAAAGCTGGGCTCTCAAGATAGAAAAACAACTGAGGCATATTCACCAGTTAGCATTATAAAAAGAATAGAGGTACTACTTCCCCTAGAGATAAATAGCAGTCATTGATATTCTAAGTGGACATCAATCTCCCTAGCCCATTCCCTTTCCAGAAATTCCTTGTAGGTGACTTATTTTCCTATTTGATCCCCATTTAATCAATATTACCTGGGTGACTATACTTGTAATCTTATTGGCTGATCATAGTTTTGTCCTACCTCATGTCCACCTTGTAATTTTCCATTGGGTCTTATAGTTTTGTCTCACCTTGAACCCATTTCACCTCAAGGCTTTGCTCAATAAAATGCCTTTGAAAAGGAAGGTGGGTGAGCAACCCACTTTCTGGTATCCCTCTGTCTCTTTTAGACAGAAGCTATTTTTTTTCTCAATAAATTTTTCCTACTCTTCACCTCCATTGTTCTTAGACTTTATCCTTCAATTTTAGAGAACACAAACCCATAGTTTGAATATCTAGCAGGTTGGGAGCTATAATATTTTTCTTGTTTGGATTGTTTTTGCTTATTTGGATACCATTTTGGGATGACTTGTTACCCTATATCGAAACCACTCTGTCATCCAGCACACTGGGGAGAGATTCTCACCTCACAGGAAGACGCTGAGGTCCTGAAAGGGTAAATGCCTAGTGCCAGGGCAGCTTGGTGGCATCTTGCAGATGGGAAGGGGATCTAGGGATGGAGGGAGAGGGGAGGGAGGGAAAAGGAAGGGGAGGTAAAAGGGACCAAGACGTGCTATGTACGTGTACCAACTCCCCATGATAAATGGACCCATGATGTATCACAGATGTGTACTAATGAAATAAACAAATTCTGATTTGTGGGGAAATAAACAAGGGAACCCTGGCAGGAAGTAGTGTAACCAAAGGAGAATGTCACTCCACCTTAGAACGCTTCATTCAACTCTGACTCAGAGACACCAGAGATGCCTGGCTGAGCAATCTGAGGTGGTGATCTGAGTAGAAACTTACTTTAATAAGAAGCAATAAAAATCTGTGAGCAGACATGTGTGCCCAAAATTAAGAAATCGGAACAGGAGAAAGTATCTACGGAGGAGAAAGGCCTGAATTCTAGCTTGGTCTTGCCACAATCAGCTGTGGGACATCCTCTCCCACTCTGGTTTCCTCCTTTGCAAAAATAAAACCTCAGCAGGTCATCTTTGTGCTTCCTCCCAGCCATGATAATCAACAAGTTTAAAATAAAAGGGCAAATTAGAGTGTACTCTGAAGTTAAATGTCCTCATTTTTCTCTAATTAAGGTCTTTATAGTGGAAAGAGCCTAGTTTTTGTATAACATGGGAGAGAAGACTGGGTACTGAAGGCACTTCACAGGCTTGTGGAAAACTGAGTCTTGCTTCTACCACTCACCTGCCCTCCCCATGGAGACCCTTAGTCTCTCCCTTTGTAGAACTGATTTGCTCAAATTTTGTCGACAAGTAAGTATGGAAAAGCTGTACTAATATTTGAGATGTCAATTATACAGCAGTAAGCTAGGTAGACAAAGTCCTAGGAAGGAAGGCAAACAATAATAATTAATTTTATTAGTGCTCAAATAATAATATATGTTAAATTTTACATGGGCTAGAGCAAAGCACACAGCATGATAGCAGGTGGGGAGATGGCTCTGAGGAGAAACCCATGTGAAGGGAATGACCTGGCCACCCAAATATCTCAATAAAGACTCCAACCCAGGACCTGAAGCAGCATCAAGGCAGGAGAACTGCAACTGAGCAGAGAAGGCTGAGTGAGGCTGGTAGGAAAGCCTTGAAGGTCTTGGTATGGAAACCACTGAAAAATCTGAGCAAGGGACTGACCTACTTTGGTTACTTTTAGATAATGCCTTCTGCTCAGTGGAGAATTCACTGTAGATGGGCAAGAGGAAAAGCAAGGAGGAGATAACTTAAGGGTCTAAAAACCATTGAAGAGAGGAGCGAACGAAGGCCAAAGAAATTTATTCTCCTGTAAACACCACGCCCAAGCAGGTTGGCTGCATAAAGGCACCTCACACTTCCCCACTCTGAGATCTGTACCCAACCTCACCTCCAGGGCCCATCTCATCTCCCAGGTTCCGATGGCTGGGAGAAGGTAGGTGTTTTGTGGTTTTTCCTGGAGATCTATGCTCTGAATTTAGATAAGGTAAGAAAAGATGGCATTTGGGCCTAGAGTGGTGGTCATGAAGAAGATGAAGTTTGCCTAGACTTGAGGTTTATGGTGAAGCAAGGCAGATGAGATGCATTGATAGTTTGCTTGGAAATCAAGTTAAAGAAATGACAAGAACCATCAAAACCTACAGAGTCATCTAGACAATCTCTAAAACACTGCCAAGTTTCACAAATTCCTGAGAGCACAGAA